CCATCCATCCATCCATCCATCCATCCATCCATCCATCTGTTCTTTACAGGTTTTCCATTTATTACATTTGAAGACTGATATTTAAAGACTAAATGAGACAATAAAAATATTTTTGTATTTCCAGCATCAAAATGTCACAGAAAAGAGTGAAGTTTTTATAGTATAAGAATTTAAATATTAATGAATATATGTGCTGAAGAGCCTCCCTCTACGTCCCTTTACATTTTTAAGTCATTTAAATCATCCGTGTGCCGAGTCCTCGCACATAAACACACCACTCTCTAAAGCCAAAGAAGTGGGGCAATTGTGTCGGGCTCCCTCTTATACTGTATAGCATGCGGTGTATTGATTTCCCTGAGCAAACCACACACACAATGAAGATGGGCTCAAACCTCCCAACCCCCCCGCTGCGTTAGAGAGAGAAAAGGGAGAAAGGTGATGTGTGAATGGGTGTTCTTGTCTGAGTCATGCCGGTTTGTTTTTCAGCTCTCTCACTCAACAGTCCATTAGCTCATTGTTGGAGGGGGCTGCTATTGGATTCAAGCTGACATGTTCCCTCAAGACTGAGAGCAAGAGATGAGGGTGCATGCCGTGCTGAGTGCTCTAATATTGTTCACACACACATTTTCGCTTAGATGTGACAAAGAACACTGGACAGAAAAAAGGGAGAAAGGGAAAAAGGGAGAGAGGCTGGAGGAATAAAGGAAAGAAGAATAGAACTAGGAAAATGAGAAATGAAACAGAAGATTAAGTTCTTACCTGTCTTTGTTGCTCTAACTTCCCTCTGTGCGAGTTATTGATTGTTTTGACAATATGACATCTTGTCTGAATAATTGTAGAGAAAATGTTCCATAATTGGGTGTTAACAAGGATATCGCCCATCGATAAAGCTTTATGTTTGACCTACATAGAAATAAAGATGTCCCAATTAGGAAAAACAATCTTTAAGTTACGTTCTTTTTTGTTTTTATCTCTCAGGAGCCGCTAACCACCACAGTCAGTCCACGCTGCAGCCTCCTCTGCCCCCTCCACACAACCACCACAACCTGTCCCACCAGTCTGCAAACAGCCTAAACAGAAACACCTTGAGAGGGGGACGGAACCCTATTCACGCCCCGCCCCCGGGCACTGGAGATGGACCGACCACCCCGGAGTCGGTCCAGCTACAGGACAGCTGGGTGCTTAATAGCAATGTCCCACTGGAAACCAGGTAAGGGAAAAAAACACATTTTTTATTCTTTATGACTTTTTCTTTTTTTTTTTTGCTGCTGCTGCTGAAAGGAAAAGTGCTGCAAGCCAAAAGTCTGTAAGCCAAGCAGACAAATAAACCTAGAATAACCAGCAGAGATGTGGTTAAAGATCAGCCTCTGAGAGAAACCAGATGATTTTCAAATATTATATATATTATACCTAAAAGAGAGCAGCTGGTTAGAAACCCAAAAATCTGATCAGTTTTATGGTCAGTGAACTCACCATTTGTAAGCAGTACCAATTCACACTGACAAAAACAATGTGAATGGATGGAGCCTCGACATAGAAAAAAAATATATACATATTTATTTATATATATATATATGTATATATATATATATATATATATATAT